TTTACCAACCAGAATGCTCGGAGTGAACGTTTATTTTTTAAGTTATTATAAGCCCGGTGGGACGTGCTTCTGTTTGGAATCACGTGTTTTGTTTGTTAAAGTATAATATACACAAAATATATTTTAACCTGAATATCTGTGACTCCAACTATCTTTTGCTCTTTTGTACATTCAATATATTATTATTTTTAATGATTATTTTGTTTTACTTTTAATGCAAGTGCTTTTGAATAAAGAGGAAGCAAAATTGCAAACAATAGTTCGCATATACTTTCTATTAGAATCTTGACTGCAACCAATAGTTTATACTTTTATTTCGAATTTGAGAACCTCTTTTTAACTGCTCACGATTTGCCCAAAATACAACCATACTAAATGTTTTTCTAATACGAAATAAAGTATCTTTAGTGAAAATAGTAAATGCAGTAAGTAAATCCTCCCATTCCATTTAGCTAAATACAAATGGAATACCGATGTGATTTACGATGTAACCTCTCTGTACTACTAATAGGTACTCAGTTTATACTTATAGTAAAATATTTATATAGATAAGTACTATAGACTTACAGCATCTGACTTCGATCAGGTATCATTAAATTTGTTGTAATTAGATAAATTTAAATTGTATATTGTACACGCAACGCTACCACGTAGGTAATATTTTATAATCTGTGTTTCTCGTTTAGTTTTTACTCTGTGGTATCTAATTGATTTCTGTAGGTATTCATCTTATTTTCGGATCGCTATTATAAGAGGATCAGAGGACATGTATCGCCATATAAAATAAATAATAATTACAAACAAATATTTTTTTAACACGTTAAACGCCACGGGGGTCACCGGTGACCGGTGTTAGCGGAGGATTTACCTTCAAAATTTTTTATTGGCAGTCAAAGTCTTAATCAACCATCTCAATACCATTAACAGATTTTTTTAACTAACTGAAAAATAAAAACGTTTTCAAAGCGAAACATAACAGGATCACTTCATTCATACCAGCCTATATTCACAAATAAATACTTTTACTTTGACGTTAGAGAAAAATAAACTGAAATTAAGACATGACAGGATATACCTAATAATATTTTCATTGTTAACGTAAAATCAAGAAGGGGAGAGAGATAATTTAAGTAGTTTACTTAAATTAAGTTCTATAATACTCTTTGGATGCAGTGCGTAATTCTCTTCGTCTACGGCAGATTGCATCGTTACAATATCTCTAATTTTATCTATTCTTGTTCATCTGATCTTCAGAATGGATCGGGAATCAACCAAAACTTGCCTATTGTATGTCATGCCACTCTTGACTGCTACTGTTATATTACTCAATCGTTATACGACAATAACGATTACAAATGATTTCTGCACATTTCCAGCCTTCCGTTCCATATTCGTTTACTAAAATAAATACAAAAAGGTCAGTACATCTACCTAGCAACGTCAAATTCAGGTATTGATCTAACTAAGATAACTTTCACAAATAAGTTCGTAATGAGAAAAGTTTGAATCGATCTTTGTATTGTAATGTGAACGTTTATAAACTAATTATTACTAGAACCTCATTATAAACATATTAGGAACAATCGAATTTACTGGATCAGGCAGAAAAATCTAGAAATTTCACATAATGAGATTTAAAATGAATTCTAATTGTTACCAGTTTAAATCTATTTTTGCCCGTATTTCAATTTGATTATCATCACAACTTCAACGTTTATACATGGTTTACAAATATTATGAGACCAATATGGAATTTTATTCTATTTTTGGTAATAATAGAAGATACAGAAACAATATCGCCAATGTTGTACAGAATAACTTGGCGCAGTACAGAAAGATGTACCAACCCTGATCCGCCGTATCAGCAAGATCCATTGATTTCTTTGGTGGTGGAACCCTATACTAAAAATGGAGTGGTGTACTTCAAAGGTAATTTGACGGTTAAAGAAAACTTGAAAGGATATTTTTGGAAGATAAGGACCGCCATTGAAAAGCCTGACCACACCATAAAGTCTTTAAATACTTTCAAAAAGTTGACATGCAAGAGTGTAATACCGAGGTTGACTTTGATAACAAGTAATGTCAAATACAATGAAAGGACCTGTGAGTATTACAAGGGTACATATTATTTCCAAAAAGTAGACTTCACGAAGCTCGATGCCGGCGCTCACTACTTTCCAATTAAAGAGATTGGAGAAACTCTCATATTTTTCAGTTTCTACAAAAACTCTGGCACAGCTTTCTGTTTCAAATCGCGTTACTATGTGAAAAATAGTTAAGTTAATAAATCAAGTTTATCTAACGTTATCCCATATTCAGAATACAGTTTATTCTTCTTTTAAAAATATGTATCTTATACTTAAAATATAAAATATCTTTATTACTCATCTCTTTTAGGTATTTTATTTTACTCCAATATAATATTCTGCTTTCATTGCAGCGAAATTATTGTTTAAAAATAAAATAATTTCAATACTTGTTGTTTCCAATTTATTGTTAATAATTTTTTTAATATAGCACATAACGTTAGGCTAAACTCATCACCAATAATATCATCTAAATGCACCACTAGAAAAAAAGGTAGCAATTAGAACTATATTAAATTAAGCTATCCCATAGAAATAAAATCTTTCTAGATTTGATAGCCTTTGTTTAAATTGTCTACCCAAAAAACAAAGTTAGTTCAAATGGTTTTAGCATGGGCTACATCAATATTTTAAAATAATTACTCTGATTGATAATCCAATGTCCACTCACCGACAGGCAATAAACTAATCCCTACATCCACATATAAAATGAATAGAAATGAAGATCAAATAAAACACAATAATGATTTTATATAAAAAGTTTAATTTCTAAAACTAAAATATTTACATAAGTAAAATAATATCAATCTAGTTTTGTACAACAAAATCTTCTTTCAAGAAGATGTATAATATTTTGTTTTTTATACGTCAATGGCCTATTAACTAAGGTTTTTAATACTTTTAATCGGATTCCTCCTTTTGTACTGAAGGTTCTTGTACAACAATTACTTGTTTGTTGGCCCTCCTGCGGGCATGAGGTCCTAGGCGGATTTTTGTTGGTTCTCCTGATACTTCTGATGTTACCTGAGAATTTAAGAAGTAAGTACATTTACATAATCATATTAGGGGTAGGCAGAGGTGCTCATTACGGCACTGTGCAATGTAAAACCCACTTTTCACTATTATGTTATGAATCCACATTTCCGGACTCCGTACTACTACTGAGAATTTTTAAAATCCTAGTATAACTTTGCCCGACCCGGGTATCGAATCCGAGACCTCTTGTCCGGCAGTCACACTTGAGACCACTCGGCCAACGAGGTAAGCAGGCAGAGTAATCTACATTTGCCATACTTATAAATTATATTATTGTTAATAAGGGACTTGAGTAAATAAGTAATGTAATACCAAAATGTATGTAGGTACCTACACCTGTTTTGAAATCGTAAATACTCATGTTCGTTCTCAGAAAACTTTTTGTTTAAACGAACAATCCTTTTTTTACAACATTGAAATTTAAAAAAGAAATCCTTTTTCATTTCCGTTCGCATTTAAAAAAAAAAAATGTTTTTGAATCATCGCCTTTGGCAGAATAGCCCATTCAATAGACAGGATTTTTACATTCTAGTTTTTATATAAATAAAATTTTAACAAAACTTTCGGCCTACACATCCTCACATGCACGATTGAAATTGAAATACTATAAAATGTTTTGAATATAACAAAGAAAAAATATAGGGAATTCTATACACACCTGAACTCTTTTCCTTCCTGCGACATTGTTCTCTAAAAATTTGTTTACTGCCGAAAGGGTGTTAATTGGTATCTAAAATATTGTATAATAATATTACAATCACAAAATTTGAACTGTTTAATGAATCAAATAATAAAGTGCACATTTATTTACAAAGCTTTACTCACCAAAAAACCCAAAATAATATCTTCTCAACCTTTGCAATATACAAAATACCAAAACTCACCTCACCTTACCACCTATACAAAGCTACATACAAATATACTAAGGGCCTATTTCACATGTTAGCTTAACTGACACATTTCGATGTATTTTACATTTTTAAAGAACACCAAACGGAAATTAAATGGCAATGGTATTCTCTACCAACCATAGGTTCAGAACTCAGCGAAAATAGGTATGGTATTGTCAGTTATTAACAAAAATTGAAACAGAAAGTGTAAAATAAGTCCTTAGTGATGTGGTAGGTGCAACAGATCTAATACTCTATAATGAAACATAATAAAAACAAAAAAATGATAGCAAAATATTAATAAAAATGTGAGTAACTTAAAGCAATCGATGATGAATTTCAACAAATACATTGTGTGTGAATAGTATAATGAATTTATCTACCGAATTAGAAGTCGGTTAGTATTGATAAATAATAGTCACACTGACAATTAAAAGTGAAAAAACAGCATGCATGTTTTAGCGTATCACCTTGGTAGCGATTAGTGTAGCTCATTCAAAACTTAAGACATTGTTTAAAAATACTATGAAAATAATGAAATATTAATATTCTCTATTTACTAATCTAATCCCTCTAAAGTATTCTTTCCATCAACCATAACCATAGTAATTTCAAGAATTAAAGAAGATTATAATGATAATATTACGTAGAATGAGAATTAACAAATAGATTAAAAACGTGCTCAAAAAGTTTCAAACAAACATGCAGCATCATGCAAATAAATTACATAAAATAATAAAAATACTGATCATGATATTAAAATATTAATTACGATGAGTGATCGTGCACTTACAGCGAAAATGTCATCTATGAATTTAGAAGCATTCGGTGTCTGTACCGATATATGAGCTTCAGAACTAGCTGACGATGATGATGATGGAGATACATGCTTCGAAGTTATCGCATCTGAGTCTGTAGGAAATGAAAAAGTTTATAAGAAATTAGTCACAAAAAGGATCAATCAGTTTTCATACAGAAAGATGAATTGTCATGCGATAATGAACTTTAACGAAATTTGGATGTACGTTGATGTTGCTTAAAATAAAATCCTGAAAGTTTATAAGATAATTTATAGACACTAGGTAAATCTGAATATCTATAGAAACAGGCAATTTTATTTGTAATAAATGTCTCCATATATCTTTTTTAATCACTTTACATTGCCAATAATTTGCAAAGCCAAACAAAACAGTTTCATGTAGCTGTAGATAAAAAGGTGTACTCATAATTCAGCCTATAAACTATTATAACTTGTAGATTGTACTTCCGTATTAAAAAAAATATTACCTAAATCAAAAGAAACAAAAAAAAAATAGACCACAGAAACCAAATTAGCAAGGGAAGTACCATAGCTGCCCAAATAAATGCCCAATTTTATGTTCCTTAAAATTAAAATAAACAAACCCAACAATTTTACGAGTTAACGCAGCTGTTATTTTGTATAAATTTATCTATTATTTTAATAAGTCCAACGAAGGCGTTGGCTCCAGAAGGGGGTGCTCGTAAAAAATAAAAACGTAATAAAAGCTAGAAGATAAAAATATCATGAAGATTACGAGGGTAGAGGAAAGGCCAAGATTATAGTGCGCCGTTCCCTGCAAGTCGCTAACAGGGCTTATTACAATTTGTAAGAACGACATAAAATATCACCATGATTTACCCTAAGCAAAACATAAGATAATCTGATGAAACGCTGCGTTGTTGCGTAGTCCTACGAACCATAAATAAAACATAAGTACATTAGCAAAATGGTAAATGATCTCTTAATGTTTCTCAAAATGATATAAATAAGATATTCAATTTTCATAATAGTCATGATTTCAATTATACAAAATAATATTTATAGTATTATTCATCTTACAAATAATTTATAACCCGCACTACCTAATTGTAATTTTATAAAACTTATGCACTATATAGAAACAAACTATGTTCTAATAATAACTGGAGTAACCAGAATGGCCAGAATATCCAGCATTTCCGGAGAAACCCGAGTAACCACCTGCTTTGAACGTGGCTGACTTTTGTACTGACACACCGGTATTTTCTGCAGTGTTGGTTAAAAATCCACTAACTGCCTTTAACGTCGAAATGGGAATCTGAAACACACAATAATAAATGAATTTCTCTCTACCTGTACCTCAGAAGCAAACAATTTTAGTGAATAAAGATTTTTAGTAGAAGGGACACAAGCTCTGAATAAAATTATGTCAGATTCTTATCACTTGTAAAATAAATCTCAGCTAGATTTATCGCGACTGCTCAAAGGTCAAATTTCTACCGGCGTCCTACATTGCATTATTCATTGTCTGTTTGTGCCAAAATTACATAGTTCCCTGCAATATTTCCTTTTTTTATATTTTCATTTGTTTACGCTAATCTGTCACACTATTGAAAACATTTAATTTCGTTTGAAACTACTATTTAGTTTCATTTATTTGAGTTACTAAAATTTTATTGTCCTGGTTCGTTTGTATAGTTTTTATTTATCACTTAGTTGTAAAGTTGGTGAACCCATAATTGGCGACAGTATAAGCCCAATACCTATTGTTACTATTTTTTTTTTTAATTCTACCATATTGAATTTAAACAGCCATAATGTAAAACTCACATTGAAAATATCCTGGAAGAAAGTACTAGGTTTTGCATTGACAACCACTTCTTTATGGACTGTTGCAACTTTGGGTGATTGGTAGTATCCTCCATTATAGCCAGCTCCTGCTTCTCCATGAGCTTCAGCATGTGCTTCAACGTCCACTCTCTTTTCAATAGGCTGGACAGTTTTGTAAACTGATTTGGTTTCTGGCGCAGCAACTTCACCACCAGCACCAACGAATCCACCAACATAGACTGCTTTGTGCACGTGGTGCCTGTGTGGCTTGTGTTTGCGTACATACACTACTTCTGTTGGTTCTACGTGGACCTTTTTAAATAGAAATAGTATTATAGTTCATATTAGTGCTAAACATAAAAGTATTGAGTACAGGCGTAGACAGGACGTCAGAAATAATAATTTTGTAAGAGGATTAGGATCTATTAGTGTACATCAATGTGAATTGAAATTACGAACTAGCTGAAAGTGCGGACATGTCTTCTTTTTTTGCTGTAAAAATATTAACTGATTGATTTCAATGAAGCCATTTTAAACGTCACTGTTACCTAAACATAAAACATTTAATAGGTTAGCAAAATATTGTGTTGAAGAAATAATGCACTTGTAGAGAAGTGCCAAATGTGCTATTATATACATAGTGCTAAAAATCTGCAGCTGTCTTGAAGCCTCTGGGTGCACGTACCATTTTATTATGATGACTTAACGAACCTGTTTAAAATTGTAATTTAGGGGTGGTAACCACATTGGTGGCGTGTAACTTCTCTGTGGACTTCCCAACAGAGAACTAAATAGATTCTGAAAAAATACTGGTGGAATTAAAGGAGCACTATAGTACGGACGTTTCCATTTACTCACTTCTTTAGCAAACCCTTGCTGGGCATTTACATTTACGTTAGCTGTTGCTTCAACACCAGCTTTAGCTACTGGAGTTATTTCATTAGAAGCCTCATATTTGGTTTCTCCATAAACATTCTTGTGCACAGTTTTGACTTCTTCCACGGGAATTACAGAAACTTCAGTTTCTTTTACAACTGTGACTGGTACTTCAACAGATTTGTGGGCTGAAACTGAGAATCCAGCTGATCCTGAAGCGCCTGATTCGCCACCCTGTAATGATAAAAATATTCTTAAGTTTTCATGTCAATCGGAAAATATTGTACAATCATGCTATTTAACTGATCAAATTCTATCTAGTATAACTACTCATTTATAGTAGTGAACATGGCTACATACATAGTGTCACATTGTAAGCCTCATGCAAGATATTTTGCGACATAAAAGGAGGAGTGTAAAATGGAGTCCCAAAAATGACAAAATGAACGTGCATTGTGAGTGCATGCACAGAACAAACTTGGTACTTTTACCTTATTCCAGTAAGTAACCACCCGTTAGTCTCACTTACGTCAGTTTTTGCTGCAGGTTATATGATTTTGTGATAAAAGGTCCTTGTTTTACCATTGCCATTTTCTTATTTTGGTTGCATTTTGTTTCGAATGATAACACATTTGTTGTTAGAAATTTATTTCCAAATTCAATGAGTATTATTAAATAAAATCATGGTTATAGTCTTATAAAAGTTATTAATTAGTCTATCTCTAATAAAATCGTTAACTTTTACATTAATTTCATAATATCCATAAACGCTCGATAAGACTTTTTACCTAACTTACCTATCTCATTTGTTAAAGTTTGTATGGCCATAGGTAAATACTGAAATAGAAATAATATTTAATAGCTTAATCATATTTTTAGTCTCTCTTATAGAACGTTTATGAAAGAAGGTTATACATAAAATTTTCCTCCACCAGTTAATGTCTTTTCTGTTCTTTAAGTAGTTTTTTCATTTCTTTAATTCTACGTCTTTCTTCTTTTCTTCGTGCTTTCTCTGCTTTGTCACCTACCAGGACCGATGTTGCTGAATGTCCTCCTGATTGAGCTGTTGAATAGCCTCCACCGACTGCTTTTCCTCCGGCCACTGCGCCTCCAAGACCAGCTGCAGCATTCACATTTCCTCCTGCAGTAGCACCGGCATATAATCCACCTGCATAACAAATTACTGTTTTATGACACAAATCGAACAGAACAGACCTCAAAACTAACAAAAATTTGTGTCATTTGACTAAACCAAATTATTGGTCTACTATTCACTGACAGTTAACCTCCACTGTATCCACATTCATAATAAATGCACCGCATTACAATTCCCAAATCATTTCTATTTCAATTGAACATTAGCACAGATCAGAAAACATTATCTCATATAAATAGTAAATACTTAACAAAATTATTCGTTAATTAATGAACGGCTGGATGGATTCATTTATTCATATAAATGAATATTCATTTCATTTCATTTATTGGTTGAGTAAACTTGCCATATGCTATCACGTCTATGTGTTTTGTTCATTCATTTTTCAAATGGCATCTAATTGCAATCTGAGTTCAAAGGTCGAGGTGTTAAAACGTAATTAATAGTTACTGCAATCATTGCGCTAAGTCGCGTCCAGCCAGATAAAACGACGTCATATGTAATCAATTCTAGAATATCTCCAGACGCATTATTAATCTTAACTTGTTATTACAATGTTCAATGCTCATGTTAGAACAAAAAGCTTTAAGATTTTCATTTATCTAGACATCTTCATTATCTTTTTGCATACGAATCCATTTTAGGGTTTTAATAATCTTATTTATGACGCTTTTATCATTTGTTAGACTCGAAACTTTACTCACTCGATGCTTTAAGATAATGCAAACACATTTATATGAATATCTTTATGGTCTCAAGCGAAATTAATTTAAATAAAGATATGTGATCTGATACATTTTTGCTTTAACCTGATTACTAAAGTAAGTGATTATAAAATGTCTTACCAGCCGTGCCACTGCTGCCATCGACGGCTCCACCTAATCCAGCCTTAGCTGCTGGTCCAAAAGGAGTTCCAGCTTCAGCATAGAGTCCACCAGCTGTATTTCCTTTTCCACCAGCTAGAATGAAAAAAGTAAAATTTATTGAAATAATCCTTCCATTTATCCCCTCCAGTCTTTTCTTAGTTTGAAAAACGAATTAAAATAGTATGTACTTCATAATGAGATTAATATTATACAATAGAAAAAAGTAGTCGGACTGTATAGGTACACTAATCATTCCCTACCCCCAAAAGTTAAATGCATGACATGTACATAAAAAAGTGAAATAAAAAGTCTAAAGGATGAATATAATCTTACATCGATAAGAGCCTCAGTAAACATTCTCCTAAGTACAAAATTAATGTTAGCAATTTGTATTTGCAAACAAAAATAGAATAATATTAATGATACAGATTCTTTAGTCCGTTTTGATCTTCGGATTTAGAATAAGATAGGAAACTGACAAATGTAGAAATAAAATATATCACCTTTTGATTCGATAAAAAAATGTTTCGCTTCAACTCTGTCTAAAATAAGAAGCACTTCAGTAAGAATAATACGATTTAGGAGCGTAAGACTGTGGGTTTTGAAAGGATAGACTGAAATATTACTAGATTGTAATATTTCTAGCATATAGTAGTAGCAAAGACATTGAAAAAAATGAGGAAACAGTCTCTTGAAACAACGACTGTGATACCTGGCTACTATAGATTTACACGCACAACATACACACATTGACACGAAGGACATCTGTCATTTTCTTAATTCTGGTAACGTGGTAACCCATTACACACGCACACATAAAAGACGACTGATATTTTTGTGCTTTAATCATAATTATTGCCTAATTAATGACATCATGTCCGCCTTTTTTTCAGCGTCCTTGAGTAATATTAAATGTTTTACCCGAACACTTAATGCCACTGGGCTAATCCTAATACCATATCATTTGATACGAGAATCGAGGTACATTAAAACTCTCAATAGCAACATGAAAACAAAACCGAGGTATAGTTGAATAAGACCATAAAGAGTTTTAATATAAAGTTGAATTACAATGATGGTTGAAGTAGCACAAAGAACAACTAATTAACTTTCATAATAAGTTGAGTACAACTTATTACGTCTCTTGTGAATGAAATGAATAAAAAGGAACACATTATATTATCTACCATAAGTGCTCAACTGCTCACTTAGACACATTGGAAAAGGTCAGGAAAATCAAGATAATCTAGTGTCTATAAATAAACAGGTACTTATTTTAGATATTCACGTAGTTAATAAGTTTATATAAAAGTTTTGTGTGACATATACAGGTACTCTTAACGGCAGCGCGACAGTCGCCGCGTCGCAGGTCGCGAAATGCCGCTCATGAATATGAGCCTCTAGTACGGCTTGAAACTAGTTGAGTTACTCGTCAAACAGTTACGTGATTAACTATTCGTAATTACTTAATTAGGTTTGACGACCTTTTGTTTCAAAATGATTTTCGATTCTACGTATCTCATAATTTTACTACCAAATAATATTAAAATCAACGTTTTGCAAATTTTTTGGATTTATATTAGATATTTGAAAAAAAATCGTAGGTTGTTTAACAAACATATATATGTTTGTTAAAAATCCATTGTTTTTTTTTACTTTATGTAAAATATATAAATGTAAATTCACCTATTTTATTATCCGATAGCAAAGATAACATTTTATTTTACTTGAATGAAAAGACTATTAATTATAAAAAATAAAGATATAGGACTTACCCAACCCTCCAAGGCCGACTCCAGCATGATATCCACCGAAATTGACCCCCAATTTACCCTCACTGAAGGTAATAAACTGCGGAGCCTGCAAAGACAGAAACATTAAAATTAATACAAATTCATAACAATAAACTTAAAACGAAATTGCTCATAATTTTACTAGGTAACTACTATTTTATGGCGTATTAACTGATTACAAGTTAATTTATTTTACTTTGTATAATTTAAATCAAATATTATTTCTATTATGATTATTTTACTGCACAATAATGTTTTACTGTAACATTTTGTGATATTATGATTTAACTGCACGCCTGCAATGACAGCTTTACTGTCAGACAATAGGTAGGTACTGTTATAATTATTTATTTGAGTTATCTTTATACGTTACTATCATATCTGTCTGTGATATCCAGGCATGTAATCTTTTTGCACTTGCAAAGAAGTGAAATCCTTAGTAAAGATAATATGTTTCAAATAAAAATTGTGAGCTAAACTGACATAAATAATTACGCACTTGAAGCACGCGATGTTTAATTTGTCCTTATTTCTTGTTATTTTGTCGTCATGGCAACCATTGTAGTTGATAGACTGGACGTATTCTCTCAAGTTATAATTAATACTCAGCTTAGTAATACTAGCATACTACGGGATAGTCTTGTGCCGGTAAAACAAACGTTACGATGTGGCCTATCTATAAATTAAAATATACATTTGCATGGCAGTAACAATTGAAGATAGCGCAAAATCTTTGCTAAGTAAGAATCAAGATCTACTAAGACTAGAATATTATTTGACATATTTTCGTTTATTTAATACTAACAAGACTACCTTGTCGCAAGTGCGACTGCTGGCCAAGGGGTCTCGGGTTCGATACCCGGGTCGGGCAAAGTATTATTGGGTTTAAAAAAAATGACATTAGTAGCATGGAGTCTGGAAATGTGCCCGATAATATATGGCAATAGGCTCACCTCCTATTACATGGGACTCATAAAATAAATAGTAAAAGTAATTGTTACATTGTACAGTGGTATTAAGTGCCGTAATGTGCACCTCTGCCTACCACAAAAGGCGTGATCTTATGTTATGTAATACTTAATCAATATCACTTCTAATTAGTTACATGTAATGTCACGAAACAACTCTATACCTGTCGACAGTAAAACCACGTTAAAAGCACTTTGACCTTAAAATATTGAATGTTAATTAACCAAACCCATGAAATAGATTCGGGAATTAAAAGGGATCGTGACCAATTACGAGGTGCACGAGTAGCATTATAGATAATTACTGAAACTTAATTGCAAACAGTAATAAAACGAATCCTTTTCAAATAATGAATTACAATTAGCTTCAGTAGACACATTTATGGCAGATATTTAAACAAAATTTGACTCAAGAGAGTACTAAAGTGAAAATTTTATAGAGGATGGCCAATAAATTGTGTTTTAAGCGATCCCTTTAATAATTTATTGGTTTTATCACAAAAACGAGCTCATCCAACGTTTAGGCTGCGGTTTGTACAGTTAGGACGGTTTGTACCCAGGTTGAGTTGAAAATCATTATTTATTACTGACAAAACATGGCATATCATCACGCCAGTTGAACCTTGAGTAGACCTGGTCTTATAATACGCAGATTTATCAATCTTTTTCTGCCAGTTTACACGTACACGTCGACCAAATATCTGATGTTAGACACCCTAGATCAAATCAACTCGACGAGCTAAGTATGTACGTCTAACCTCAAACGTTCTACGAATTTCGAGTTCAACAATTGCGGTTGGTATGATTAATTAATCAAATGAAGCGGTCAATACACCAAAACATTAAAATGATCTACTCAAAATTCCCAAACAGTTACGTGAGTAAGCAGAAAAATAAAATATTAAAAATTTACACTATTAAATCCAACTCCAAACCCAACAAAACAGAACTAAAAATAATTATCTTGAACCGTTATAATCTTTTACGTACCACCGATAACATAACCATTATAGACCATTGGAAAACAACAATCAATTTAATCTATGTATAATTCATTGGAAATACCCATACACGTCGCGTCATAGGATTAACACGTGTTCTAGGTAATCAGTAATCATATTCAATATTGTGTTGTATTGTATGTCGTAGAATTTTTAATAGCAAGCTGTAAAGTGATTACTAACGGTTACATTAAAAGTACTAAGACTTAGTTATGTGAGACAATGGCTTTTGTTTGAGACTGTAAGACTTGCGCAATACAATATGATGTGTCTATCTATTTATTCATGGTTTTATTCTTATTCCTCTTAGATTGTTAACTAAAATGTTTAAAGTTATAATTTAGTTATAATTTTTTATACATATTTCTTATCGTAATTCTTTTTATTATCTGTTACACACTGTGTCTTATATTTGAATTACATTTCCTGTCTCAGGTCTACTGGAAGAAATTCCAACAGGAATAAGAAGCACCTTTGTACTCTTATTTTATATATACATGTGTTATCCTCTGTGCTGTTTGTGTGTACATAAATTATTATTCAATAAAACTATTTTGTCAGGTAATTGTAAAATGAATAGGAGATATTAAATTGATTGTAGTAATATCTAAATGCTAAAAAGACTTCAGACTCTCTTGGTCTTCTCTAAATTTTTATTATCCTATACATGTACGGACATCCGAGTGGCGTCCATTCAAAGAGAGAATTAAAGATTTCGTTTACCCATTAACTTAATCAGGAACAAAAATATTCGTTTTGTTTCTAAATTTCACCTCTGACAGTTTGTAAACACGGAACAAAAGAAAATGGGATAAAAGAACTAAGTTTCTATAAATTCATTAAGAATGATATTTGTAAACAAAATGACATTATATGGCCATTATAAAACTATTTTTTCTGAACCAGTACATGTTCTTGTCACAAGACCATAAATAAATATAGCGGTGAAAAATAAATTTCTGATTTTTTTATTAACATAAATATGTCCATATATATTGTCTTTTCCATATCTTCGGAAATGTTTGTGGTGTGATCTGTTCCAATTAATGTACGTTTTGTGTATAGAAACCAGTTGAGAGCTCCAGAAATCTATACCACAATGGGATTAGATGTATTACTATGTATGTATGTATGTGAAATCATTGCCGGGATAAATAGACTATTGATAAAGGATAATGAACTATAACGCTATATACTATATGGAATATTTTATTCAATATGATTTTAAAGTTTTGAAATATTCGTGAAAGTTCAATAATATCGCAAAAAGTGGAAAAGTATAAAGAACAGCGTTTAAGTACCATTATGTCATTATCGAACTGTTCCCCGATTAGTTAGTGCTAAAAAACAAAAGACACTTCAATGACGTCAGACCCAAAATGAGAAGAGAAGAAATATATCGTTTACTCTTTCTAAATTCAAATTATTGCCGCCTTTAGAATAGTGCAAAATAAAACAAATGACACATTAATGACGTCAGACCCAAAATGACAAGAGCAGAAATATATCGTTTTCTCTTTTTAAATCCAAATTATTGCCGCCTTCAGAACAATGCAAAATCAAAACAAATGACACTCACTCTCCACGAAAATATTGCTTTTTCTTTCTAAATCCAAACATGGCCCGTCTTTAGTTCATATAAACTGCCCTGTCTCTTGTTTAACTTTTTTCACGCTGATTTCCGAATTTAAAAACAAAAAACATAAAGTCACGCCTTTTATCCCCGAAAGGGTAGGCAGAGGTTCACATTATGGCACTTAATGCCACTGTACAATGTAACACCCACTTTTCACTATTTATGTTATGAGTCTCATGTAATAGAGGATGACCCTATTGCCATATACCGGGTACAATTCCAGACTCCGTGCTACCACTGAGATTTTTTTTAAAACCCAGTATTACTTTGCCCTACTCGGGAACCGAACCCGAAACCCCTTGCCCGGCTTTCGCACTTGCGACCACTCGGTCAACGAGGCAGTCAGTCAGGCCAGAGAACAAATTAAAACAGGACTTTATAATAATGTATGTCCACATCAACAAGAGAAATTGACATACATAGGTATTTAATGAACCAAAACTCGATATATTTGCTAGTAGGCAGGTCAAAGTTTCCTCAGCTACTTTTCAATTCCATCACCAGACTTTTACTCCAGTAGTTAGTACATATTTATAATTGGTAACTTTCATAACGATTTCATAATTTATTTGATAAACAGCATCAATTGCTAAAACATATGTTATTTTCTTGCAAGAGAAATAAATATAATATCTAATTTTATCTCTGTACGTTAAAAGTACCTTCTACTTTATGGTATACTGAGATAGCATACAAAGTGCCCTTCAACTTGGGATAAGTATAATCGGGATATTTAGTACGGAACCTTCACGCCTGCATTATATGGAGCTATGTTTTATTTCTTGCCACTCCACGACTCTTGGCCTATGAAAAGGGTAAAAGCGTTAGTTATCGAGAAACCATTTCGTGAGATAGGGCGAAAAGGGATAATTTTGTATTTTGTGAAAGACATTATGTACTTTTGGTGAGTTATTATTTTTGTTACATTCTAAGGAACATTATTACAGACAAATTGACGAACATTTCTAAACTAATTTGTTTAAGGAAGATGTTAAAAATACATATATTTTTCTTTTCTGAAGTTCTCTTATAACATTGTCTCAAGAACATCGGAGATTTGGTACAATATTTCCATTTCAGTTCACTGTTTTGTAATTTGAAATAAACATGAGTATCGACTAAGTATTCTTTTGCAACTTGTTTAGTAGATATTTTCCATTATATAAGTAATTAAAAATTACGTATTCTAACAAAAACTTTAAACGCAAACAATAGTAATTTTCCCACAAATTCCAACAAAAAATGACAAGTAAATGTATTCGTCTGTGAATCTAATTAGGTGTTGTGCCATTGTCTCTTGAAATAACTATCGACTCTGCGACACGTCAATAAAATCTGTTTGAGAATATTCTTCTGTTTTTTTTTCTAAAATGTAAATTATATGTTTCTATATATGGGACAGGCTGAGTTAAAATTAAAGTATAAAGTATCAAAAATTAAATATGTTAAAAATAAACTTTTA